CACACACACACACATCCATGTTGCAAATCTGCTGTTCCACCACATCTCAAAGGTCTCTATTAGATTATGATCTGATGACTGTGGAGCCATTCAAGTACAGTGAACTCATTGTTGTTTTCAAGAAACCAGTCTGAGATGATTCACTTTATGTCATGGAGCATTATCCTGTTGAAAGTAGCCATCAGAAGATGGTACANTGGTTATTTGAGTTACTGTTGCTGTTCTATCAGCTCAAACCAGTCTGGCCATTCTCCTCTGACCTCTGGCATCAATAAGACATTTGCGCCACAGAACTGCCGCTCACTGGATATTTTCTCTTTTTTCAGATCTCTGTAAACCCTAGAGATGGTTGTGGGTGAAAATCCCAGTAGATCAGCAGTTTGTGAAATACTCAGACCAGCTTGTTTGGCACCAACAACCATGCCACGTTCAAAGTCACTTAAATCACATTTCTTCTTCATTCTGACGCTCAGTTTGAGCTGCAGCAGATCATCTTGGTCATGTCTACATGTCTAAATACATTGAGTTGCTGCCATGTGATTGGCTGATTCAACATTTGTGTTAATGAACAGTTGGACAGGTGGACCTAATAAAGTGGCCAGTGAGTGTGTAGTTAGAAAAATGCTTTTAGTGGAGATCATCTGCCAATAAAGGTCATTTTGGAAAACTTAACCGCTCATTTTTACTTAATACTTTTACTTTTAATACTTAAGTACATTTTATGTCAGAATCAGAATCAGCTCTATTGGCCAAGTGTGTTGACACACAAGGAATTTGTTTCTGGCTGATTATGTGTCTCCAATACACATACATACAATATACACAGTGATGGAAGCACAATAGCATAAGACTTAAACATTCTAGTCTGTGGATTATATACATGTTATGTACAGTGAGCGTGCACAGGGTGCGTGTGTGTTATAAAGGTAAAAAGGGGAGGTGAGGCACTAGTTAGCAGGTCTGATGTTTGGAGTTGTTCATCAGGGAGATGGCCTGGGGGTCCTGGATGTGTGCAGTATGACATGATTTTCTCATCAGAAATGTCAGAAATTTACTTTTGATACTTAAGTACAAAAAAAATCAGATACTTAAGACTTCTACTCACGTAATATTCTTAGAGGAGACTAACTTTTACCAAAGTAATTTTATGATATTTTTATGAACTTTTAACTCAAGCATCACTTTGAGATACTTCATCCAACAATGGGTCAGTTTCTGCAGGTGTCAACAGTACAAGTTGCTCAGTAGGATGCACTGCATTAAGTTTTGTGTTTGTGTTCAGGAAGAAAAGAGTGGAGAGAAGGCGAGTGAAGCTAAAGACATCAAACTGTACGGTCAGATTCCTCCCATAGAGAAGATGGATTCTTCTCTTTCCTCGCTCACCAGCTGCGAGTACGTGATGCCCTGGTGTTGTGACTTTAACCTTTGAATAAATGTGTTTGATTTGTTTACTTGTCGTAACRGTTGTTGTAATTTATCCTCCTCAGGAAGCTGTCGCTTTCCACGAACTGTATTGAGAAAATAACCAACCTCGATGGTCTCAGTGRGTACACAGACTGTGTGAATACTTTCTGTGTAACATTATCATTTTAGATAAAAAATGTGTTGCTGTAATTTTGTTTTCTGTCCTTTCAGAGAACCTGAAGATATTGTCATTAGGCAGAAATAATATAAAGACACTTGCTGGGCTGGTAAGCAGAGTTGAACTAAGTACAAGTACTTTCTTACTGTACTTAAGTAGAATTTTTAGGTATCTGTACTTTACTTGAGCAATTATTTTTCAGACTACTTTTTACTTCTACTTCTAACATTTTCACACAGTTATCTGTACTTTTTACTCCTTACTTTTAAAAAAGGACAAGAAGTAGAAAGTTGTTACTTTTATTGCATTTTTGCTTGTTTTCATTCCAGCTTGTTATTGTAAAAAAATTAATACTTTCCACATAAACTGTGCCTCCTAGATAGTGAATTTAATTGTGGTTGAATGAGAAGTATAAATATATAAATTTCTGATACTGTATTAGTTTGTACACAAACAAATCATGTCACTGCAGCAGGACATAATCATTAAAATAAAAGTACTGTACTTAAGAAGTATTTGAGTTTCATGAATTATATTGTTGCATTTGGCTGCAGCCCTCAGATAGATTTTCATTTTGGAGAAAATCTTTGGTCACCCTTGATATATGTATATAAACTGAAACAGCTAGACTAGTGCNTGGTCAGAAGATGGTACACTGTGGTCATAAAGGGAAAAGGGATGGACATGGCCAGAAGATGGTATACTGTGGTCATAAAGGGATGGACATGGCCAGAAGATGTACACTGTGGCCATAAAGGGATGGACATGGTCAGAAGATGATACACTGTGGTCATAAAGGGATGGAAATGGTCAGATGGTGGTACACTGTGGTCATAAAGAGATGGACATGGTCAGAAGGTGGTACACTGTGGTCATAAAGAGATGGACATGGTCAGAA